AGAAGCATGTGCACACACAGAGAAGAGCATGTGAACACATTTATGCACATACACACAGAAGCATGTGCACACACAGAGAAGAGCATGTGAACACACTTATGCACATACACACAGAAGCATGTGCACACACAGAGAGCAGCATGTGAGCACACATATATTACACCCACAGAGAAGCATGCATGCATACACACATGCACACACAGAGAGAAGCATGTGAGCACACATATGTAGTGGGTAGCCAGTCCAACTTTGATCTGGAAATTCCACCGCCTTTGAGGTTTTGGTAACTGTCACACCCACAAGGCAGAGCCGAGAGAGGGCCCTGAAGACCCGAGATCTGGACTGGGGAGCTCTCTTGGTTCCCAGAGCCTGGATGCTGGAGGTAGACTGAGCAGAGTTCTCCAGAGAACACCGCCGGACTGCACCACACCTTTTTCCAGACCCTGTAACCTATCCCTTCACTTGTGAGTTACCCCACAAAATAAACCTCCCTTTTAACTACGTGGAGTGGCCTTAATAATTTCACCAGTACACATATATTATATACACAAAGAAGCATGCACACACACACACACACACACACACACACACACAGAGAGAGAGAGAGAGAGAGAGAGAGAGAGAGAGAGAGAGAGAGAGAAACATGTTCACACTATTAAATAGTCTCTTGTTTTAACCCAAAAATTAGGTCATAGATCCTTGACTGGCCTAGAACTCAGACTTTCCTGCCTCTGCCTCCAGAGTGCTGGGATTAAAGGTGTGGGCCACCACATCTGGCCTGAAAGTTAGATTTCTTATCGAATAATTTTTCAATAATAAGCAGTATGCCTTTTCTGGATTAGTAAATAATGAACTACATCATTTTAATGGGTGGGTGACAACATTTATTATCTTATTTTCATCTCGTATTTCTTATTATGTATTCTGCATAATACAGATGTCTCCAGTGTTTATTTACACAACAGAAATTATTTTCAATTGAAATAATTACCAGTTGAAATCACGACAGTTTTCAAAGTATAATATTTCAAAGACGATAAATATTAGCCTACTAATTTGTCTGCAAGGGAAATCAAAAGATTAGCTTAATTTTTTCTAATATGTCAGAGCAGCAGAGAAGAAGAGGCGAAGGAGGAGGAGAGAAGAAATGCCACAGCTTGGGACAGGCATTCTTTTCCTCTAGAGGGTGGCTGTGGCCTCACTAGCAGAAGCAGAGACCAGGGAAGGTGTGAGTCCTGGGAAAACCAGGTCATCAGTGGACATACTTTTGATTACTTACAGGTGTTCCACAACTCTCGTGTGTGTGTGTGTGTGTGTGTGTGTGTGTACACGTGACTGTGTGCAGAGAGGTCAGAGGTCAACATTGGGTGCCTTCCCCAATCACTTTCCACCTTATTTTCTAAGACAGGGTCCCTTACCGAATGTGGAGCTCATCGATTCAGCTAGCTTGGCTTGCTGATGAGCCACAGGGCTCCCCCTGTCCCTGCGTCCCCGGCCCCCAGTGTTGGGGTTACAGGCACACACCATAGCCCCAGGCTATGGGTGCTGGGCATCGGAACTCAGTTCTTCATGTCTGTGTCGTGTGCACTTAACGGGTAAGCTTCCTTCCTCTTAACCACTTGAGCATGTGGATTGTGTAGACCCCACAAAGGGTTTATGGGGATGCCCCACATTAGGGCTGGCTTTAGAGTCCACTTGCCACAAATTAGAAAAGAGGCCAGATTCAAAGGGGTGTTTCAGAAGGAAGGTCAGGTGGCCTTTTGTTTGTGTGGCCTCCTCCTTGCCACAGAGCAGCGTGTGCTCTGCTGTGTCCGCTGCCTGCAGAACTAGCGCTCCCAAGCTTTCCCTGTGGAGTAGGCCAGTAGCTCTCCCAGAGGCTTTGGGTTCCCAGCACCAACCAGATTGTGACCACTAGGGGCCTGAGTAACTGCCACTCATCACTCTTCAGTGAGAGACTTCTATTCTGAGACTCCCCACCAGTCAAGGTCCAACCTCCAGGATGGAGTCCCAGGCTCTTAGCATCGCAGGTGTGGTTTGGTCATTGATTGAGATATATCTATATATATTGATCCCGTGGTTCTCTCCCTCTGGAGAACCCTGACTAAACACCCCACACCATGTCTGTGGGTGCTCTCCTCCCCTGACTTCTCTGCAGAAGTCCCTGTCTCCTCACTTCCCTTACCACACTCTCAGATCCTCAATCTACGTTCAGGTAGCTGGGGAAACAGGTGCTAATAATAACTTTCTGTTACAACTGTCTTCTATGATTTTTGACAAGGGGTGTGTGTGCGCATGTGCAAGAGGGCATCGAGGCACACATGTGGAGGGGAGAGAACAAGTTTCAGGACTGGATTCTTTCCCTCCGCCATGTTGGTTCCAGGGATGGGACTCAAGTCATCGGGCTTGGCAGCAAGCCTTTACTCACTGAGCCGTTCCAATGGCCCATGATTTTCCAAGATAAGCTGGAGTAAGATAAGCTGGCCTTAACTTTCTAGAGAGATGTGTAATAGCTTTGAAGAGGAGTGTGGTGGTCTATGCATGAATTTGCACTTGAGAGGACAGGGCAGGAGGAGCTGGAGTTCCAGGATAGCCTGGACTACATAGACAAATTAATAAACGAATGAACGGATGATAAATAAATGACCGCTTTGAGAGTTTTGATATAGGACAGCAATAAGGGAGGCCGCACTCCTTATTTTCAGAACACGCTATGAGTCCATGCATGCTCACAATAGACTTTCCTGTGGGCACTGATGGCTGTGTCAACGGGACAGGAGCCATTTCCAGAGTCCCCATGGTGAGTTCTACTGTCTACGGTGTGTCTGCTAGGAGGTCAGGACATACTGTGATACTGTACACCACACAGTCACCAGAGGTGGGGACAAGCCTTTCTGAGCTCAGATTTTTACTTTTGTAAAAATTACTATGACCCAGAAATGCTGTCATCTTGTTTTTATTGAAGTGACAGGTTCCATTCATGTTCAAGAAAACACCTGCCTCTGTCCAGGTTGGGAGGGAGTCTCTGTCCTATCCACCCTTATCACCCAAGTCACCCAGCGCTGTTCATTTAAAATTGTATTCTCTTTATGGCTCTGTAGCTCCTCGTCTTAAAGAAGGCACATGTGAGTGGCACATGGGTGGCACGTGGGTGGCACATGGGTGGCACATGCTTATAATCCAGCACTGAGGAAGAGGCAAGAGCATTAGGAATTGCTTTGCTTTCTGTCTCTGTCTCTCTGTCTCTGTCTCTCCCCCCTCTCCTTTTGAACAATCCTTCCTACATATCACGACTAAAAGGGAGACTTTCCTTTGAATTTCATTAATAGATTTGAAAAGTACTTACAAAATACCATTTCACTTTGACTGAGATAACCCTATAGCTTCGCTTATTTATTCATAGGGTGGGACCCATTCATCCGTTTTCTTGTTGGACACATCTTGCATTCTGAGTACCACATAAAGAAAAGAGGTCAATTAAGCTCCTGGTTCTTGAGAAGCAAGGTCACAGTGCCAGTGTCGGCTTAGTACCTGCTAAAGTCCTCCTGATTGGCCATGGCATGGCAGAGCATCACCAGGGACACAGAGGGTATTTTGTTGACGGTGACAGAAGTAGCTTTCAAGTCCCCCTCACTTATCTCCTGAGTGCTTCTCGACTCCAGCTCCCTCTGCTGGCCATTGTGCAAAATGAACTCAGCCTTCCTTGCCAGCCAGCAGAAAGATTAAGGTGGGCAGGGGCAGAGCAGGCCACTGGGGGTCTACAGTCTACACGAAGAGGGACTGCTCCTCCCATCCCTAAGGCATGGTTTCTTCAGAGCTAGGGTCTTACGTGGCCAGACAAACTGAGAATTTAGCGGCTGGACTTCCCTAGCGTAGGATGACTTCACACTAAGCCTGTGCGGCCCACGACACCCCTCCCTGGATGGCTGTTCTGAGGAGCGGCTTTCCATGAGTTTCTCAGCACTTTGTTTCATCTCCAGATGCCAGCAGCAGGGAGGGGCTCTGATCCACACATGTTTTAAAGGTGCAGATGACTGGATCTGCCAACAGAGTGGATGTAAGAACAACACACAAAGGCAACTTCCGGGCATTCTCTGCAAGTAGTGGAAGTGAGCTGGGAGATACTAGGCAAGGAGAGAGCAGGTGCTGCTGGGAATAGACGGGAAGATGGATCAGGAAGGGATGAGAGAGGAGTAAGCGGTGTTGGGTCAGTGAACTGGAAGGTATTGGAGGGCATTGTTCTCTAAGTAAAACAGACAGCTGATGCTCCTTCAGAGAAGTGGGCGGGGCTGGACACTGGACCCCACCTAGATTCCAGCCCCCCCCTCCCAGCTACTTGTATATAATTCTGCCTTAATTGCACCCTGCCTTTGGGTCTCAGAAAGTGCTAGCTATATAGAGTCGGATGAAGGCTAGGGAAAGGGGGAGACATGGGAGACCCCCATACAGCTATAAGGAAGCCATCATCCATGCTGGGTGAAGACTTCTTAGTATGGCTTCTTTGGGGTCTGCTATGACCCTGTAAGAAGATCCTTAACCTTGTTTAGTAAGTAAAGCCAGTAACTCATTGGTTCTTAGGTGAATGTGAGTGGAATGCTACCTTGGTTTTCAGTGGGACATTGTAAGGAGGGGTCACCATTGTTTGTCTCCAGAGAGAAGGAAGTCTCACACCAGAGGGCTTAAGAGTTGATCAGTGGGGATGTCAAGAAGAGAGCCAAAATGACCTTGAAAGTACTGTTTCTAAGAGTTCAGTAGAAAGGCAAGGCTTTTTATTCCAAGTCACAGATCTGGTCTAGTGTGATGACCCCTGAAACCTCGGCACTCGGAAGACTGAAGCAGGATCGCCACATTTAAGATCAGCCTGGGCTACAGAGTGAGAAAACAAATTTCTGTTTAAGATAATCTTTTATTTGCCCATCATATACATTTGAACATCTCTTTTGATAAACATTACATTATTTTAGTAGTAACAATAACTTACTATACAGTATAAATCACAAGGTCCAATTTCTGACTTCTAGGCATTTCTATTTTTCCTAGAGTGAAATAAACAAGAATGATCTATCATCCGTGTTGTTGATTTTAGTGAGAAGGAGACAGTCAGTCTTCTGTTGATCAGAGTTAAGAAACAATTTTGAGGTCACATTCAAGAGGTAGGTGACAGTCAGAAAGAACACTTGATTGTCACTGTGTGAAGGGATATTAGAAAACCACATGCAAAGAACCTTGAATACCAATTACAGTTTCTTACAAACCAATTAGTACATCTGAAATAATCACAACTTTTTAAATCAAAAATAGACACAAAAACCCACAGGCAATTTAGTTGCCTATTTTCAACATTGAAAAAGTATTTTTAAAAGGCCTAGAAGGAGTTCTTTTTGTGGGTTTTTGCTGTTGTTATTTTGAAGACATAGATTCTTATTTTCTGTTGACTTTTAAAGTACTTTCTCTGTAAGATTATTAACGAATGTTGTATCATCCCTTAATCAAAGATCTATCTAACTGTTAGAATTCCCAGGCTCCATGAATCGACAGACTTCATAACTGAATCAAGGTCTTTTCAGTTCCAGTGAGGTGGGACCATTCGGGGCAGCTCCTCGGCCTGAGTCTGGTAAATCGATGGTGTCAGCAATTCTCTCTGAAAACAGTCTTCATGATGCTGTCTGTGGGATTAATCTATCAAAGACCAAAAGAGCGGTTTTTATGTTCTTCTTAAATCCCAGCAGCCTTTCCTCCTGCCCACTTGCATCTCCCACCCTTTCCTCCACTCCTCCTCGCCTACCGTCTCTGCTTCCCTCCTTCCTTCCTGCTGTTGGAATCCTGTGCCTTTTCTCCTTCCTGTTCATTCTATGCTTGGACTCACAGTTCCTTTTGTTTGGCTTTATTTTACATACAGAACTCATTCTTACTGGATTTTCTTGGTTCTTCCTCCACAGGAGTTGTGGATGGGATGGATTTGGGGTGTACTGAAGATGGAACCCAGGGTCTCATGCACTTTAAGCACGTGCTGTACTACCAGGACATATCTCCGGCCTCAATAAAATAGCTTATGCAGTGATTCACAGAAGGCAGATGTGTGAGCATCTCTCAGATGCAGTGCTCATTGCTAATCTAAACATGTCCTCTTTGGTATAAACTGATGTGTTCAAGATGTAAGATCAAATTCTTGAATTTTGCGCATTGTTTGCCATCTCTCAATAAAAGATACTACCAATGAATAACAGTAGTTGTGGTTATGTCTATAAGAATGTTTCCAGAAAGTTCCAACTGAGCAGGGAAGACCCACCTTGAATGTGGGGAGCATCATCCTATGGGCTGGGGTCCTTAGATTGAATGAAAGGAGAAAGTGAGCAAAGCCTGAGCATTTGTCCCTGTCTGCTTCCTGGCTGTGAACACAGTGTGAGCGACCAGCCCCTGCTCTTACCACTAACCTTCCCTACCACGACTGTTGGTTCCCCTGCAACTGTGAGCTAACCTAAACCCTTCCATCTTCCCGTCAATTATTTTCTCACAGCTATGAGAACAGTAGCTAATCCACAGTGTGTGAGTGTGTGAGTGTGAGTGTGTGTGTGTGTGTGTGTGTGTGTGTGTGTGTGTGTCATTATAATAGCTTTCGGTTTCCTCCTTGCATCGTGGTCCATTCTTCCCCTTCAGTTCAAGCTATGCTGGAGGCTTTAAGGTAAGGGAGATTCCAAGCCTGGGATGTGGACTGAAACAAAGCCATTACCAGCGCCCTGTGACTTACCCAGCATCTTCCCAGGAGTCACATGTCTCTCCTGAGCAGTGCGTGAGGGTGACATGATTACTGCTGATTGTTCACCCGTGTGCCTGTCCCTCTTCCAGATATGCCTTACACTGTGGCACCCCTGTGTGGTGCATGCTATTCCTGTATCACTTCAGATGACCTGGGGCACGAGGAGAACCAGCCATTTGCTTGTGGTCATATAGCACACAAGTATGAGGTACTGATAACCACACTTCATTGCTTCCCTGTTGTACTGGTTTGTTTTTTTTTCCAACTTGACACAAACCTAGACATATCTGGAAAGAAGGAATCTCAGTTGAGCAATCACCTTCATCAAATTGTCCTGTGGATGTGTCTGTAGGGCATTTTCTTGATTACTGATTGATATGCAAGGGCTCAGCCCACTTTGGGAGGTGCCACTCCTAGGCAGTGGTCCTGGGGTGTACAAGAAGGCAGGCCGAGCAAGCCATGGAAAGCAAGCCAGGAAGCAGTGTCCTCCGTGGCCTCCATGTCAGTTCCTGCCTCCAGGTTTCTGCCTCGACTTCCTTTCATGAAGGACAGGACTATAAGCTGTAACATGATGCACACCCTTTCCTCCCAAGTTGCTTTTGGTCCTGGAGTTTATCACAGCAAAGGAAAGCAAACTAGGATCCTGGTAAGTCAACGTTCAGTGCACTCAAAGGCTTGGCTCGCATGCCTGAGGCTTTGCTCCACCTCATCCAGCCAACGTACTCATCGGCACCTTGAGCTTGTATTTCAGAACTGCTCCAGCTCTAGGGCCTTGGTGCTGTCTACTGACCTTCCAAATCTCCTACTCTCACTACTGTGGAGCTCTGTGTTGCCTTCACTGAGCCCGCTTAGTCATCCCCCCCCCCCCCTTTGTCCCCTCCACCACACTGGGAGGTCATACCATTGCTCACATTCACTTTGCCTTTTCAACTGAGCTTCACCGGCCCCTGGTTCTTTGACACAGAATATTACTTCTTACAGGTCCTCCTGCCTGCATCCACTCTCCCAAGCTCCTAGCCCCTGGTCCAGCACTCCCCCTGCTCATCTCAAAGCAACCTTTCTCTGCTCAGCATTCCCAGCACTCACGGTGTAGTGTGTAGATTTTCAGTGTCTCCCTCGCTTAGACTCACAACTGAGAAGACCCAGCCCAATGCCCTGTGTGAAACTAACACATGAACCATAAAACTCGATGTTCTGATTTGATCTTACTCTGACTGGAGAAGATACTGATGCCTATTTTACTTTTTTTTTTTTTTTTTTTTAAGATTTATTTATTATGTATGAAGTGTTTTTCCTGCACGTATGCCTGCATGCCAGAAGAGGGCACCAGATCTCATTATAGATGGTTGTGAGCTGGTTGCTGGGAGTTGAATTCATGACCTCATGAAGAGCAGCCAGTGCTCTTAACCTCTGAGTCATCTCTCCAGTCCACTGATGCCGATTTTAAGAGGCAAGCTACACTGACTGTATGAGACAAAAAGAGATGTGTTCTTTTCCTCCTTGAGTGTACATCACCTATAAAACTATGTGGTGCACTGGGGGGCTATGCTGTATAGCGCTGGGGCCATTGCATAATGCTGTCTACTTTACATGTATGTATATGAACTTGTGCATGCATGTGCCAGAGGTCAATATCAGGTGTCTTCCTCAAGAGATGCTTGCCTTGTTTTGAGACCGGATGGCTCACTGGCTGAAGCCGACTGACTGGGTTAGGCTGGCTGGCCAGTAAGCCCCCGAGTTCGGGCTGTCTTCATCACTCCAGCACTGGAATTACAAGCAGGCTCCACTAAGTCTGCCTTTTCACATGGGTGCTGGGGATAAACTCGGTTCTCATACCTGTGTGACACTTGACCAACTGAGTCAACTCTCCAGCCCTGACACTGTATGTTTAAGAGACAGAACATGTCCGGGGAGGCAACTATTAGCATGTATAATGAATATGAAGGGGTAGCAGCTGTTGGTGGAATAAATGAATACAAATGTGTGAATCAAGAAAAATGGCCATTTCTGTAGCATGCGGTCTTGTGGGTCACATGCAGGCGGGAACAAGCTTGGTGACACACCTAACAAGACTCTGCGCCTGGCTGTGGGAAGGGCAACTCTGATGGGCGCCACAGACACTGATCTCAGGCTGCATCTCACCCACTGCTTTAGCAGTTCTCTTTCCCAGTCGTGTGGCTGTGTCTCCTTTTGTGTTCAGGATTTCTTTCTGAAACAGTGTCTATGTGTGTGTCACCTCCATCCTCCAAGGAGCCTGTGGACTCTGAGGAGGGCTCTCACTAGTTGTCTTACACACTTATTTTAACACCTCAGTGTTTTCATGTAATCTCTCTTCCGTGATCCCCTGGAAGTCAGGTTTGCTGGAATTTAGGTAAAAAACTGAATGCCACAGGATACACAGCTAGGTGTTTACCAGCCCCACCAGGTGCTTACCTGGGACATGCCAAGTCTGGTCTAACCACAGTGCATCAGGAAAGACCTCCAGTTGGGTGGTGTTAGAGGCAGTTTTATCTGAAAATGATTCCAAAACCTGCAAGAAACATAGCAGAGAGACAAGGGCTTCAAAGGTCGATGCCTCTTGCTTGGCCAGGGTTTCTTTGGTGCCTGGTCTCAGCTCCCCCCAGAAAACAGTGTTGTCCTGCCATTTCAGTGGCTGGTACATCTGAGAGTTCTCAGGGTCCCTTAGAACATGATGGCCATCTGCTATTTTATGATAAGCCCCACTTTAAGGAATTCTAATTAGTGAAAGTTACATTCATTCAAGACACACAAAAGCATCAGGTAGAGAGAGTGTTAGCGAAGGTGACGTCTCCTTGGGTGTGGGAAGGTGAACCTGCTTCCTGAAGAACGATCTGGCTGACTGCTGAACTAGAGGCACACCTAAGAACTCACCCTAAGGAAAGAACAGAGAACCTGCGAAGAGACACAGACATGATTCATCAAACTGCTGTTGCAAACAGTGAAAAGCTAGGCAGGGCTCAGTGGCTAATGACTGTTAAATGAGGTCTGAATATCGGCCGGCGTGTGGGTTCAGGCAGACAGGCATGAAGTGACCATGTGAGAAAATACATAGTGATATGGGAAAAAACAGGTGGCCATGCAGGTACAAGAATGAGGCCGGCATTGCCCACCTTGGAAAAAACTCACCGTGTGCTTGGAAATACAAAAAGAAAGATTAACTAGATACCAAATACAAATTGTTCCATCTGAGTGAGGAGTATTTCTTGTATTAAATTTTTGTTGTATTTTAAACTACTTTTTTTTTCAAAATTTCAATAGTAAGTATGTATTTTTTATGATAAAAATATTTAACAGACCCACAGATCCTGTTTTAAGAGCAGCCATTAAATGGGGCTGTGGCTGCTTCTCAAAACTCATCAGGGCATCCTTTTGTTCTCAAAACACAATATAAGCCAGATGTGGCAAAGGGTTACTCCTGCAATCCTAGCTTGGTAGGATTGTAATTACTCCTGCAATCCTAGCACTTGAAAGGCAGAGGCAAGAGGGTCATCAATTCAAGGTCATGATCAGCTCCATAGTGAATCTGAATCCAGCCTGGGCTACGTGGGCTCCTGTCTCAATTCCCACAAAACAAAACAAAACCAGCAACAACAGAACCAGCTGAATGATATGACAAGATAGTTTCAGCATCCACATCCAAGATGACTCCAAGATGAATTATTTTTATGTAGAAATGATATCTCCCAGAAGTTGCCACATTCTCTCTTTTTCCCTCCAGTCGGGTGTAGACACAAGGGCTTGGCAGCTGCTTTTGCTCCAGAGCATTGACCTCTCCCCTGGGCCACAAGGCGACTCAAGCTGAGTGTGAGGGTGGCCCCTCTGCCTTCTCTCTGTGTCTGTCTCCGTCAGTGCAGCGCAGACACCTGCTTGGCTCTGCACAGGCATGTCAATGACTAAGAGGTGTCTATCTACCTAACCCAGCTCATCCTCCTTCAAGGCTGAAGACACAAAGGTAATTCACTGCCCTAAACTGTAGTCACCTTGGACTCCAGAAAGAGCAAAGCCCCTCAGAACACACCTCCATAACTCACCATGAGAGCAACAGTCCATTTCAGGGGTGAGGCTGTACCTGAAACAGAAGTGACTATCTTAAAGGAACAGGCTCATTCCCTGAAGTGATGCTGGTAATAAGGACTTCTGCCGACCACCCCACAGAACAGAACCAGAGCTGAAGTAATGGCCCAGTCAGGCCACAGGGTGGCCTGGGGTACCTGACTGTGCATGTGAGTGCCCCCTACCAATTCTTCCCTTAGTTAAAGCTAAAACTCCTGACAGTGCCCTGAAGGTGGATTTGAGCCACTGGTCCCCTTATCTGTTTTTCTTCATGCAGTCACACTGACTGTTCTATGACCTCCCCACGTACACATGCATTTACACATGTGCTCACAGAGGAACCATTCTGGCGCTTTTGCCCTTAATTAGCATCTTAAGACAGAGGTTTCGGGGTGAAAGAGTGGAAGAGGTGTGGGGGGTCCTGGGCTTTTGCTCTGCAGCACTGGTTACATGGTCTCTGTTGAAAATGAGCAAAACTTCGATATCCCAACTCCAAGAGAAAGAAGACGGACAGAAAGAAAAACCACCTCTGGGTTGTAGTTGGAATATTCTAGATGAAGCTGCAGAACGTCTATACTGGTGTGGCATGGAAACACTGTGGTAACATCCCCCCAACAGTATATGACATGTTATTGAAGACAAATATATCCACAGAAATGTGGGTATTCACAGAAATAGGCCAGGAAGACACAGCCCTTTTATCAACAGTCACCCCAAAAGAGGGCAGAGGGAGGAGCAGGAAATGGGTTTCTTAGAAGGGGCCAGTAAAACCATAACGGTTGTAACAGACACATGCTTCTACATTTTTAGAAGACTTTTAAAATACAGTTTTAAGACATTAAAAGGGGGCGGGGCTGTATGAGGTGGTTCAGCATGTGGGAAGCTGAGCCAGGAGGACCATGGTAAATTTGGGGACAGCTTAGACTATGCAGCGAGGCTCATCTGGACTATAGACCTGTCTCAACTAACCAAACAAAGAAAACCGAAATTATAAAGAAAATAAGTAAAAACAAATTTTTTAGATGACTATAATTGCAACCTACTAGCTAGAGGGCTTTACTTGGACATTTTAATTCTTAAATTCTAATTAGTTTATTTTGTGTGTGTGTCTCCGTGTGTGTGTGTGTGTGTGTGTGTGTGTGTGTGTGTGTGTGTGTGAATGCATGCATGTGTGCATGGTGTGCGTGTGGAGGTCAGAGAACAACTTTTAGTGTTCAGATCTCTTCCTTCACCGTACCGGTCCCTCTGGGATGGAACTCAGGTCAGCAGGCCTAACAACAGGAAGCTTTACTACTGAACCATCCCTGCCACCCAGGCCTTTAAATAATAGGAATTTTAAAAATTATATGTCTGCATCTTTTCAGAGGGTCAGTAGTAATAATAAGACTACTTTCTCTTTGATCTTGTGCATGTAAAGGCAGAAAATTGCTCTTTCTGAGATCCCAAATATGACCTTAAATATATATATATATACATATATATATACATACATATATATATATATATATATATATATGGTTTATAAATAAAACAGTGGGCCATTCCTGTAAACCACCCAGTCCACAAAACACTGAGCTCAAGTTTCTTGTTAAAATGCAGAGCCGGGCATGATGGTGCATTCCTGCAATCCCAGCCTGTGGGAGAGGGTGAAGTAGAGGTTGTCCTGACTTCAGCCCGGGCTACAGAACGATACTGGGTCTTGGAAACAGAGAAAAAGGATGGGACCTCTCGTATCTGTGCTAAGTGGGAACACAGCCAGCCACTGACTCCACTTCCCTCTCCCGCTCCCCCGCCCCTCCCCCCGTCCCCGCCAGGCCCCCTCACGGCCACGCCCCCACGCCCTCATGCTCCCACACCCCCTTGGCCCCCTGGCATCGAAGCACTCGCAGCTTACAGATGGTGGTATATGTCAGGGTCCCGCCGCAGCCGGGTCTGGAATCCGATGTACAGGTCGTCCCACAGCAGGCCGTGCCTCACCACGTACCTGATGACATCCACGCGGCTGCGGATCTGAAACGGAAACATGGCAGCTCTGGGTGGCCCTGCTGGGTGCCAGTTCATTCCCTCAGGTCCTCGGGAGGAGGAGCTGCCAGTGCTGGCAGAGAGGAGTGACGGAGAGGAGCCTGGATCACAGGCCGAGGACAGAAGGAGGCAGCCAGGAGCCCAGGAATGGAGGGAGGGAAGCAGGGCACACACAGGTCAGAAGGCGGGCCAGCTGGCCAGGTCAGAGGCTCAGATCCAGGGTCCCGCTTTGTGGTTCAGTAACTACTGCCTCAGTGTCCTCATCTATAAAATTTAGATTAAAAGGTGGTGTTCCTCACAGGAGTGTGGTGAGGAACAAGTGAGTCTGTGAACAGAAACACGTGAAATGAGGCGGTCACACAGGAAGTACTCGGTAAGGGGTCCTATTACCACAGGCGCCTCCACCTGAAACTCCGGCCAGAGCCGTGTGTGTGTGTGTGTGTGTGTGTGTGTGTGTGTGTGTGTGTGTGTGTGTGTGTGTATGCGTGCCCGCCCCTCCCTCCCCCTCTTCCTTCCTCTTCTTTGAAGAAATAGAAGGGATTTATATAAACACGAAGTGCATGAGATTGGGTATTTCTCAAGCCCAGCTTCCAAAACTGTAAGCCATGACTTTGGCAGGGAGGACTCCATAACTGGGTGTAGATGTCGTGAAAAACTTGGCAACACTAAAATATTTCTGAGCGTGCAATGAAAAAACTTAAGTAAAAATCAACTGTAACCAGTCTGAGGTGTTTCTAGCTGCACTTGCTCGCATTCTGTGACGTGATTCCACTGCAGCCTTGGTTCTGAACACATAGCATGCCAGCCTTGCATGAAGCATGCGGCCAGCACACCACGCCCACACACACTTCTGTTCAGTTTGGAGACCAAAGTGTGCTTTGGCTTCGGTGGCCTTGGCATCGCAACACAGAATGGGACAAACAGTGATGTCCGCTCATAATATTTACAAACTGTTTGCGACTGTGCTTGCTCCAGAACAACTTACCCAAATCGGACGCGGGAGGATGGCTTGAGCTCAAGATTTTGAGATAAGTATGAACAAGGATGGGAATAACGAAAGGGGTGTTCTCATGGGTCTTCTTACATGTGAAAACTTAGCTTTCTGAGATCCATAAATCAGATAGAGGAAGTTTTGCTGCAGTTTTAACATATTCAACTCAGTTTATTAAAATACAGCTCACTAAAAGCTAGGCGTGTTAGCATATGTCTTTAATCCCAGTACTGGGGAGACAGACAGATCTCTGTGAGTTTGAGGTCATCCTAGAGAGTTCCAGCCCAGTCAATAAGACATAGTGAAACCCTGTGTCAGAGAGAGAGAGAGACAGACAGACAGACAGACGATAGAGACAGATAGAGCAGAGAGAGAGACAGGACAGAGAGACAGAGAGATGTCACTAATGAAGCAGCCATTATGTCTAGGACGTGGAGGTCTTGTTTCACTTCTCCAGGTAGGGACTTACACACTTCAGTGGCACCAGCAATCATCTCAGGGGCAGAAGGAAGGCCCTGGAACCCGGGTTAATGACGTGTCACCTGCGGAGTGAATGCTGCAAGGCATGCGTGCTCGCCTGCATTATCGCCTATGCTCAGCCCAGCCGTTCGGTGGGGTGGGACCAAGTCCTACACAAGGGAAGGAACCAAGGCTCAGACGGGTCAAAGAACTTGCTCGGAGTTTCGTGGTGAGCAGTTGTGTTCAACAGTGATGGACACCAGTTCTAATCTTGACCTGTCTCCAAAGCCAAGGACCTTTCCTGGACATCACAGGGCCACACCAAGGGATTCGCTGGTACCTGGGGCCCAATAAAGCATGTCATGTCCGCACTGACTCAACTTCCTTTTCAGAGACCTTCACTGAGCACCCTTGGAGACTGAGATGTAGGTCTGATGTTGTAGGCTACTAAAATTTCCTCGGGAATCCAACGCTGGGAGAGGCGAAAGGCTGAAGCCCTGGTGACCTGGAGGAACTGGCCTGGCACAAAGAGACTCCGTACAGTTCTGACAACTCAGATGAGCATGCGCACACTCCTGCTTGGTCTCGTGGTCTATATAACACTGGAACAATGCTAAGAGAAGGCCCAGATTGGCCTAGAGAGAAACGAACCTCGTTTCCTATCAGTTTGTTTCCTAATTCCTTTTAAGGTGCTAGGGGTTAAATGAATCTAGGTCAATGTGCAACAGCTTTGGAGAAGCCAACCAGGAGGCAAATCTGTGGCTCGCTGACCCCCTGGTAAGAGGGAGCGGATTCCCAGTGGGGAGCTTGCCTCATTTTCTGACCTTTAGATGTCAGTTGCCTGTGAACACGTACTGATGAGCTGGTAGAGGAAAAGGGTTTTTGGATTCTGGCCTGGCTTGGGGAGAATACTCTATTTGTTGGTTTTTATGGTATGTGTCGTTCCTGGGGCACTTTCAGGGTTCGTCCTTGGTTGGTTTTGTGTTCTCGTCATTGATTTGTGAAAAAGGACACTTCAAAGAACTGTTATTTTGAAGGCTCTGTATTTGTGTTGGTTGTGAGGTTGGTTATAGGACAGGACAGCTCACAACTGTTTGACAGCGCCCACTCTGTTTACTTTTCTGTGTGGCCTGTTTGGCAGTTACCTTCAAATTTTGGCTTACTCCTTAGCGCCGTATTTGAGGTGTGTAAATCACTTAGGCCCATTTTGAAATAAATTATGTCTGTTGCCTAAGGCTGAAGTAGCTACTAGAGTGAGGCTTTGCTGTGGAATAAAGATCAAGATTCCTAGAAACGCATCTGCTTTCACTGGAACTTAAGCATATTTTGCTGGGGATCTATCTCTATTATAACTGATGGCGGACTGAGAAATGGCAATTAGTTTGGGGGCACCCTAGAGAAAATCCCTGCTGACTAGTCCTTTTATGCTGTCACAGTGCACTCTGGATTAATAGAACCTTTAATGTGTCGTTTTGCATATTAGTTTGTGTTTTTGACAAGTGGCTTGGAGAGGACACTGAAAATGTCACGGCTGTAGCAAAGGTCTCATTACAGATTATCTGTCTGAGGTTCTAGACACTGGACACTGAAGAGACCATGAAGAATCCAGGAAAAAAAGGCACCCCAGTAAGAGCTGTAAACGGCTGATTAGAATTCCACGGTTATGGAGAGATGTAAACCACAGTCAAAATGATCTCAGACTGTCTTCCGCTCCTTTAATATCCAGCCATTGCCCACCTTTGTGCCTGAGCCAACATTCTTTTGCCTACCAGACAAAACCTTTGGAAGGCATTAGCTTAGCCAAAAGCTAATGTCATCAGACAGCCCCTTAAGTCTATAGCAGAGTGTTCTCTGCTTTGCTGTGACTTGCCTACCTGATGCTTCCTTTGGGAAATCCCTTGAGTTAAGACTTGACATTATTCTGAAATTAAAAACTTCATAAATCATTTCCACATTGTAGACTGTAATTTGGAACAATCTGCCCTCATGCTCCCAGGCCACGGTCACTCATGTTTGGCTCAAAGATAAATCACGCTTGTTTTGAGCTGTGTTTCTGAGTCAAGAGAAGTGGTGGGGGAGGGGAGAAGGGAAGGAAGTACTGATAGAGGCAGGAAAAGAAGGGAGGAGAAAGAGGGGGAGGGTGCTAAGGAAGAGAGAGACCAAGAGGAAGAGGAAGGGATCACCACCAGAGGAGCTGCTCACTTCTTCATAGGGATGCTCCCTGCTTGGTCTTTCCTTTGGAAAAGATAAATCTAGAAAGTCCACCAGATAGTCGTACCCTCCAGGCAAAGGGTTGAAGTCTTCATCTGTTTCAATCATCTGTGCAAAGGAAAAGGTGGTAAATGGAAGAGCATTCATCAGGTGGCTGAGGTCTTTAAGAAATTCTAAGAATGTAGAAGTCTTAAACACTCTAAAAGAAGAGCAGTGAGTTGATACAAGCCTCCCATCTGCTTCCCTCCCTCTTCCCGTTCCCCTTCCTCTGTTTCAGTCGCTCTCTTGAACTGGTAGCATTACACTGGTAGCATTACATTCATCTCCTGCATCAGCAAATCCACTCCTCTGACTCCTCTGACTCCAGTGGCATGGAGCATTGTGAGCAAGGAGACATCGGGTAGCCCCGGAAGCTTTCGGATGGGATCATACAATGTGGACTGTGCCTCACATCACACAGCAGCTAAACAGAACTGCATTGACCCGGCCAGTGACACGGCACAGCAGGTAAAGGTGCTTGTCACCGAGGCTGACCACGTGAGTCCAGTGCCCGGAACCCACGTGGTGAAGGACAGAACTGGTTCCCACAAGTTGCCCCCGACCTCCACACACTCACTGTCCCATAAACACACACACACACACACACACACACACACACACACACACACACACACATAAATAAAGAACTGTGATTTAAAAATTTCAAGTAATATATGCTTTAAAAGTTCTAAAAGTTTCATTTTCAAGCTCATTACCCAAAT